ATGTGAACATTTATAATATTTTTCGAATTTATTGAAGGTGTGTGCGATCGTTGGAGGAACGTTCACGGTGGCTGGTATCATCGACTCGTGTATCTTCACGGCATCGGAGGTCTTGAAGAAGTTTGAAATCGGGAAATTGAGTTAATTTTTTGGAAGTTTGAAGATGGGATTTCCGAGTGTATAACTCACGCCAAAATATTGAAAATCAGTGCAGCGTTTGTTTTCTTGCCACCTGCGTCGAAATCCCGCATTTCCAGCTCGGATCACCGATGCGTTTTATTTTTGAAGCTCGAAAAGAATATATGTTTTGAGAGGATACGTTTGCATATTTAGGGACTCACGGGTCTGGAAGCTGTGACTTGAGCTTTCTTTTGTTGTTGTTGTTGTTGTTGTTCGAGCTCTGTTTTATGTGTATTTTTTTCCTCAGCTCTCTGGAAAAGACACACTTCCGTTTTCTATCCGTTTGTGCGAGTGTTTTGTTGTCCAGTTGATTTTTGTTTGCGGATCACTGAAAAATTGTACTTTCACTTGCGTGATTTTGGGGGAGTGGAATTGAAAAAGAAACGACTGGGTCGTTTTCAGGTTCTTGTTCTTGGCGTTGAATTATTTCAACACCAACAACGTCGTCACATAGAAGAACATTATGTGAACTAAGTTCTGTTTTTAATGTGCGAGGATTAATTGGTAGATTGTTCAGCTTTTCTTAGCGGAGTTTTGGTCAGACGGAGATGATCGTAATATTTAAGGAATTTCACTTCAAAATTCTTTTTTTACCTCACGTGTGACGTCGTAGTGTGGTTTCAAATTCGATTTCGAATCTCGTCCCTTCTCCAAAAGATTTATTTTCAGGATGTGATCCGCTGAGGCATGGAGTTGTTCGATGGCGACAAATATGTTTGCGACTTTTCTGAACTGCCTCCCAAGTAAGGATCTTCAGTGGGCGATTTTTTCTCGTTCAAATTATAGTTTAATTCTTGGATGACCAGATTGCGTTCGAAGTTCTGCCGCAATGGGATTCAGAAACGTGGAGGAATTTGGAAGGCTTTGTTGGAGGAAGACTGCGATGACAAATCTGGGAATTGCACCACGACTCCAGAACCAGTTGGGAACGGGGTGAAAATAATTCCAAGTGCTTCGCAGCAACCGTTTCATATTTTGTGAGTTCTTCAGATGTTCAATTCTAAATAAACCTTTAAATTTGAACTTCTGGGATGAACGAACTAAATATGTTCGGTACTGCTTACCCTTAATTATTGCGTAGTAGTTTTTTTCGGATTTCGAGGAATATTACCATTAGGATTTACAGTATTTTTATAAGAGCCTAGTTATATTTTTGAATGGAGATATTCCAGCTCAAATAATTATTTCAATTGGGAAATTGCATAATTAAATTTTGGGTCGTTTTAGATTGAAAATTTTAGACTTCGGGGGTTGAATTCTGGAGAAATTTCATGAGACTTCGCCTGATTTTTTTAGTTGATGCCTGCGTATTCTCATTTCTAGGAAGGAATGTGATGCTAAAAGTGAATCTCAAGTATCCCAGAGATCGCTGCCATTGTCAAGTGTGTTCAAAGACGTTGATGTTGAGAACACAAGCCGTCCTGTCAAGCGAAAAAAGCGGTAAGATTTCTTCGATGCGTTGTGTGCAATCTATCCAAATTGAAAGAATCTGGAAAATTGCTGACTCGATTTTATGAAGTAAAAGGTGCTGCACGAACAGTATTGCAATTCATTGTATATTCTATGTCCCGAAGAGGTCTGAAGATATTTTTTTTCAATTCATGCCAATTTAAATGCTCCCGGAAAAGTGTTGTGGCCATTCTTATCTCCAGAAAGATGATGTTTTACATTGCACTGCAAATTTTTCCCGGCACTTCTCCATGAAAATTCTGCGTGATTCCAAAATATATATATTTTTTTCAATATCCTCAGATCCGACTTCGGCGAAAAGAAGAAGAGTAAACGTGTTTCGTCGATCTCGGAAAAAGTCAATCCAGTGGTTGTTCCGGAAAAGCCGAAAACTCGGAAAAGGTATCTCAATAAAAAGCCGGGCAGGGGTAAATGCCCCGAAGTTTTTCGCACAAACTGCGGGTTGCCGGAAGGTTGGACAAAAGTTGTGTGCCAAAGTCGGTTGCCCTCTAGTGTCTACTCCCACTGGGCATATTTGATAGCCCCCGATGGCTCAGAAATCAGGTACGCATTTTTATCTGACTGAAAATAAAATCGAAATCATGAATTTTATCATATATCCGGAAACTTTGTAGATCGAATATTTTTATCGAATTCTATTGAAAGATTACTTGCCAGTGACCTATTATATTTATACTACGTACATTCCTGTAATTCTCGAGAAGCGCGTGTCCAAAAAATAAAATACCTCATCATGGATTATGAAGTATTCACTATCCACGATTCTGCATTCGAAAAGTCTCGTAATTCCTCTAAAAAGCTGCAGATTCAAAATTTTCTGTCTGCTTTTCCTGTCCATTATCAAAATTTGGGGACTTCTGAGTAAAGTGCAGTTTTTGAGGGTTTCTTACTGAATCAGTGGTGCCTCGGTTAATTTGCTCTAGTGGACAGTCGTGTGACACGCACTTTTCCTGTGATTAATTATCCGGAGCAAAAATATTAAGCGTGAAGTTCTTTGCGCGAGGTGTCCATAATCCGGGATACGACTCTGTTTGATTGCTTGTTTGTATCCCCTTGCAGGAAGAAATTGCAGCTGGACGAGTTCTTCCGATTGCATCCCGAAGTGGGTGTTGAAAAAGTAGCGCTAAACTTCGTGCTTCCACGACCGACGACGGAAATTCCGTCGACGTTGGAAAATGGGCATTCATCCGAACAGGGTTCTTCACGGTCCATTTCTCCTGACTCTGGCTCGAAAAACGGTGCGGAAACGCTTTGCGGAAAACGAAGCGGAAACTGTGCACCGAACGATGTGGTAATCCCGAAAATCGAGAATCCAGTCACTCTCCAAGTGCCTTCCGAAATTCCTGTCAAACAAGTGCCTTCGCCGAAACACGTTTCAAAGGCGAAAAAATATTCAAAATCGTCTCAAAAAGTTGTCGAATCCGTCGTATCATCGAAGCTGGGTCTTCGCCGGAGCAAGAAAGTCACTCTTGACGTCTTACAGAGCCCGGAACAAGCACCGATTGCACGGATCAGAAGAAGTGCCAGACTTTCTGCAAACTCTTATAAAGATTCCTCTCCGCGGAAACGAGATGAAAATCAGGTAAAATTTCGTTACAAAGAACTCGTGGGAGCTTGAAAAATAAATCTTGAAAACGGCAGAAAATTTAATATGAAAGGACCTTCCGAGGTTTTTTTTTTAATGCGTAAATTGAAGGTCGTCACGTTAAAAAAAGTATTCTATTAAGAATATTTTTAAAAATTCAATTTTTCTTCAACAAAATTAGCCCCATCTTTGGATTAGAAATTTTTCTGTCACATTTTTGGACGAAAAGTAAAAGTTTTCTGTTTCTCTCCAGCGTCTATAACTGCAAGAAACGGCTGCATCTTTTTTGAACTTGCGTAAAATTTATTTTTAATATTTTAGATCAAAATTTTAAAAATTTTCCTGCTAGAAACAGTTTGGGAGGCATTTCTCACTCTACTGAAGCACTGACTTTTGCGTTTTTTTGTACTTTATCTGATTTCAACTAAGTAGATTACAGTGTTCGCTACGAGTTCGTGGAAAAATTAATTGAATTGAAAAAAAAATGTGTTCCGATGCTAAATCATTGCATTTAATCAACTCGCTTCAGGTTGACACCTCAGAAACGTTGCCTGATGTAAATGCATGTGTGGTCAAAGTAGAAAACGTTTCGAGTGATTCCGAAGACGAGGCCTACGAGTACGACGACGATTTGCTCAGCGAGGATTCCGCCGACGCGGAAGTCGATTCCTCCGAAGAAGTCCTTCAGCGCTCCGTAGTTTCGAAGTCGTGCGACAATCTTCCGGATGGTTGGGAAAGGCTTGAGATTCGCAAGCGACTCAGTAATGAAACGACGAAGGTTGACCTGGGGTATTTAACACCGGATGGCTCCAGACTCTGGTGAGCCATCTTGGAAATAATCAAGTACAGTAATTTTATTTACGCGTGGAATGTTTCGACCTTGGCGCCGTGTGGGAAGGAAAAAAAAAAGGAATCGAATGTAATTTTTTGACCTCTCAAGCGCCGTTTCGTTTTTTTTCTTTTTCTTTTGTGAATGTCATCAAGAAATACTCTTCTGAGCGTTGCAAAAATATCGAGGCGATTCCAGGAGAGCTGAAATCAGTGCTGCCCAACTCAATTGTGATTCGAGGGCCACA